TTTTGCTTTTCTAACTTTCAGCTCGAACCACAATATCTGTCTCTGGATTTTATTCATTGTGCAACATCCATACACAATGAATAAAAATAGATAAATAAATAAATGTTAAATGAGATTCCTAATTAGAGTTACCAACCAAAAGATTCATGCTTTCCATGGGAGGCCTTACCCTCTCTGAGGAGTGGATGGGGGATAGAAATGGAGTAAAGAGGGAGAACAGGAGGGGAAGGAGGGGGAACTATAACTGATATGTAAAATAAAAAGATTATTTTTAAAAATTAAAAGCAAGCATGACCTGCTCTACCAGTTGACACTGGTTCAGGTCCCAGACCCCACAAAGTGAATAAAAATGTCTCTAACTTCAGTTCCAGGGCATTCAATGTCCTCCTCAGGCATCTGTGTACACTGCATGTATGTGCTGCATTGACATGCTTGCAGGCAAAACATAGATACAGAAAACATGACAATAAATTAATTAAAATATATAAAAATAAAACTATGTATTAGCACAAGGCTAGAATAGATAACTTGGAATAATTTCATACTAACATGGTAAATAATTGAGTAAATTACTATACTTCCCTTAATTTGAATACTATACATTAATTACATGCAGGGAAACATCACATAAACCCCATAAATATCTGCCACATTTGAGTGTTAACTACAGAAACTAAAAACTAAATACAAGGGGCAGAACATATGGCTCAGTGATTAAGAGTACTGACTGTTCTTCCAGAAGACTCAGGTTTGTTTTCAGTTACCTATGTGGTAGCTCACAACCTTCTGTAAGGTCAGTGCCAGACAGTCTGACACCCTCTTTTGACTTCAGACACTAGACACAAGCATGATGCACAGACATACATGCAGGCAAAACACATATACATGATAATAAAAATAAATAAATGAACATTAAAGGAGATCTCTAATTAGAGTTACTGACCAAAAATCAGAGTACATTATAAAATAAAATATAAAAATACAATCATTAATTTAAAGAAGGAATATTTCTGTCATCTTCAGAAAGAAAAATATCTTTGCAATGAAAGCTACAAACCTAGCTTTAAAAGACTTGGTGATGACTATATAAAAAAATAAAATGTTAGCAAAGTAAGGAAAAATATAGGGATATTTTTGAGACCTTCCCAAGATAATTAATGTCAGCAGGGTAATTAAATAGAGAGGAAACTGTGCAAGGAGAAATGAATGAAGAAAAGGTGGTCACATGAAGTTTCACTAAGACAGAGAACAGAGGGTGGATTAGAGAAAAGAAGGGAGTGGGGTTCCTACCAGACAAGACCACATCCCTGTGGACACACTCTACTGATAAGGATATTTCTCATGGCTCCTTTCATGTCATGATTCCTCAGACTGTAGATAAAGGGATTCAACATGGGTGTAACTACATTGTACATCACAGCCACAATGGCATCCTTGTCATTAGTTTTATTAGATGAAGGGACCAGGTATAGCCCAATAATGGCTCCATAGTACAGACAAACCACAGAGAGGTTAGAACCACACGTGGACAAGGCTTTATAGATTCCCTTGACTAAAGGAGTTCTCAGGATGGTGGCTCCAATGCAGCCGTAAGAGACCAGGATGCATATGAATGGTAGAGTAATGGCCAGTGTACCTAAAAGAAGGATGACCAGCTCATTGATGGTGGTGTCTGAGCTGGACAGTTTAAGTAAGGCAGAGAGATCACAGAAGTAGTGGGGGATGATATTATCTCTGAAATGAGATAAATGAGCCAAGAGGAGGGTGTGAACAAGGGAATTGGCAAAGGACAAAGCCCAGGACATAACTACTAGCAAAACACAGAGGCTCTGATTCATGATGGTGGTGTAGTGCAGAGGGTGGCAGATGGCCACATACCTGTCATAGGCCATGGAGGTCAGAAGGAAGCTGTCAACATTTGCAAGGGATAGGAAAAAATACATCTGGGAAATGCATGCAGCATATGAGATGGACTGACTGTGTGTCAGCATATTCACGAGCATCTTTGGAGCTGTGACTGACGAGAAAGAGATGTCTGTGAAGGCCAAGTGGATGAGGAAGAAGTACATGGGGGTGTGGAGGTGAGAGTCCAGCCTGATGAGCAGGATGATGAGCAGGTTCCCCAGCACTGTGGTCAGGTACATGGTCAGGAACAGGGCAGAGTACATGTCTTGGTCCTCTGGCTGGATGGGGAGTCCCAGGAGGATGAAATCAGACACAGTGCTCTCATTATCTCTCCTCATGATCTTCATCTTCTGATGTAAACGAAAGACGAAATAGGAAAGAATGATTTGACTTGTACACTATAAAAACATTATACGAATGACATTATCAGAAAAATAACATAGTTTGAACCACTTAGTCTGCCTGTTTTAACCTTAATACATAGATTTTTGTCACAGTAATGAACTAGTTATGGTTGGAAAGATATATTATTGCCCCAACTAGAAAACAACTGAATGCCTTTTAGAGGGAACAGTGAAACATCAAAAAATTATCAAATCAGTTCCACATCCAGTTCAAGGTTGTGGCTTTCATTAGGGCAATTTTAGATATGGAATTAGTCACAGTGTAAATTGGTACCAGCAAATCAAAAAAAACAACATGATTTCAATGAAAGAAATAATGTAAAAACTGGGACCAGCAAATAGAAAAATCAGCATGATTTTGATGGCTTTTGATCTCTCTTAACTTTTCAATGTCTCTTGAATGCACAAGCCTAATGTTTTATTT